GTGCCAAGCAAAAAAAGAAAATAGTCGATGTGACAACACAACATTTAAATTAAATATAAAAAAATATAATTTCTTCTCTTTTTGTACGCTTTTGTACACATTTCATCAAGCACAAAGCGACACTGAGAGAAGCGGCAGGGCGGGCAGCGCACAGCAGGGAGGAGGAGGCCAGCACAGAGTCAGGGGCGCCAGTAGAACGTGTCAATCACCTCGAACTGAAGAGCAAAACCACACGAAAATGGGGCAACCATTCGCTAATCTGTGACAAGATGAACCCCAGCAGATTCGAAATAAAGAATAGACGGGGCACTTATCGGATTGGGAATACATTAAAGAACTGCAAAATAACAATATATAACTACAAGATTTTCTATAATATTAGATAAATGATAAATGCTGCATGAAAATACTTAAATTTGTTTTTTGTTATTATTATATTTATTAGTATTATTATTAGTATTATTATTAGTATTATTTTTATTATTATTATTATTATTATTATTATTATTAGTATTATTAGTATTATTATTATTATTATTATTATTATTATTATTATTATTATTAGTATTATTATTATTATTATTACTATTATTATTATTATTATTATTATTATTATTATTATTATTATTATTATTAATATTAATATTAATATTAATATTAATATTAATATTATTTTTATTATTATTATTATTATTATTATTATTATTATTAACATAAATATTATTTATTTGTATTATTATTACTTTTATTATTATTATTACTATTAATATCATTTTCGTTTTTATTTGTATATTATTTATATAACGCAATAACTTTAACCTTAAAACAATTTCAATATGAATCGATATTTAAATAAGAAACAATTCAAGCGAAATATATTCAAAAATCATTCCAAAGTAATTTTTATGAGTACAATTACAGGCGCTTCGTCTTCGATAAGAAGAGCACAGAAAACATAAAAATGATTGTTTGGATTGATAAAACTTTAGTAGTATTATTCTTCTGTTGAAGGTGGCAAACTTTCGATTATATGCTTAAAAAATATATTAGCAACGAATTGAGAAACGTTACATGACTACAAATTGAAATCCTTTTTGAATGCATCTAACAAAACGAAAGTCTATAAAAGTCGTGGAATAAATGAAAAATAATACCATTCTGTGGAATTTACAATACATTTTTAATAGGTTATGTATTTTTCTTCACCTCATTTTATAGCTAAACTTTTGGTTTAGCTGGAGAAGTACACTTTAAAAGGGCTTAAATAAAGAAAACAAGTTTAAGTATGGATTATTAAACTCTTAACTAGATCTCTTGTCAATTAAAAGCAAATGCAAAAGTTCTGTTCATCTTTATTTTAATCATCCAAATTACTCAACAAGTTATTCAAAATTGGATTTAAGTGAAAGAATGCACCGAATGGACTGAAAAGCTTTAATTTCAAAATATGCCCGTTCATATTTGCATAAATAGTTTGATAAAAAAATATGAGAATATTTATTATACCTAAATATTAAATCCACCATTTGGAAGAAATAATAATTTCTGCGTATCGGAAGTAGATCGCTTGTTTATCTAATAACAGGTTAAAGGTTAAAGCTTATATGTTAAATAAACTTTTTGTTGTGCAATTGTAAACATTAAAAAAATAAATGGAAAAATAGGTAAGTTAACGGGAAAGTGTTTGTGTGTACGTGATAAGACGCCTTATCTATATGTGTTGTTTGCACATATGTTTGTTTATAGTAAGACAAACATACGGTCGGGCTATAAAAATAGGCTTAAAATCATAAAGATATTTAACATTTCAATACTAGATATGGTGCATTCACAATTGTATCTTTTATCAAAAAGTATCTATCTTTTTAGGCGCAATTTACAAAACCGAATATGTGCGTGTGAGTTGTTGCTGTGCCTCTTATTAAATCCTTTTGGAGCATCGAAACACACTGCTGACCCACAAACAAAAAATGAGTGAGAATTTGTAAACACAAACCTGTCACAGGTGTCTGCGCGCTTGTTTTTACGCGTGTTTTCATTATCAATTTTTAACCGTGTTGTTGGTTTTCCTTTTTTTTTTATAAAACAAAAAATAATCAATAAAAAGAAAACAATCAGAATTGGCGCGCGCCGCGCCGCATCGAAATAAAGCAAATTGAGTTATTACTCGCCGAAAGAGACAGAAAATGTGAGCGACGGTGAGCCACAGAAGAGTGGGAGAATGAGTGACACACATACAGGCACACAGACGCAATGCGTAGCTGATTTGTTGTTGCTGACGCTGCTGCGCAGTTGACGTCAGAAGCAGATTTTTTGTGCTTGGTTTTGGTTTTTTTCTTAAAACATTTTTATAGCTGACTGGTCAAAAGAACCGGTTGTTGTTGCTGTTGTTGTTGTTCCTATTAGTACTGACGTCGGTCCGTCAGTTGCACAGTAGGCTGATGAGGGCTGGGCAAGGGGAAGGTGCAGACACAGGATGCTCTAGTCGCTTGTTGAGCATGCAGAGGTTAGAGGGGGTTAAAAGGTGCTTAGACCGTGGTTTATTTTTATTCGTAAAAAGTTATTGTCAGGGATGGAATCGTAAAGTAAAATAAACTGTCTTTCTTATTTATTGAAAGTAGCGTCAAACAAATAAACATACGCATACACACTCACATATGCAACTACAACAAAAGGCGGAATCACTCAAGCGGCCCCAAAAGCACGCCAACGCCAACGTTGCTGTCCAGAAGCATATAAAAAAAATGGTATACACAAAAAAATTTACCGAACTCACACAAAAAACATACAAACACACACACACAAACAATGTACAAAAAACGAATTAACGAAAATTAATTGAGCGCGAGCAGCGACCGCAGCTGAGCAGCATAGGAGCGCAAGAGAGAGAGCGAGCGAGCAACATAAACAAATGAAGAGCCGGACAGAAACAAGCTGCGAAAAAAGGGAATAAAAGCTTGTATGTAAAGCAAATAAAAGAAAAACGGCAGATGATAGCGGGGGCGGCATGTGCAAAAAAAAAGCAGAAATTATGCGCGCGAGAGCAAAAACAGTGAAGATAAAAAAGACGACACACAAACCGCCACCGAATGAATGGCACATAAAGAAGTCAAACAATGACCAGGGCGGGTGGGAAAATATTGGCAGCCGTCGCTGCACAGTGTCGCAATTCCATTTGCTTAGGGATATTTTTTGATGACTGGTTTTCGAAAGTGCTAAATTTAACAAATTTTGAAATTGTTTAATTGTTACTGAGATTCTATATTAAATAAGTTACATAGAAATGGCGAGAATAACTCATATAGCTAACAAATCTAATAAAAATAAAGCTTTTATGGAAGGATACCAACTTTTTTAAACTTTACTTTTTTACTTTACTTCCAGAGATTTAGTGCATAATACTAAAATATAGTATCATCAAAGATGAATAGTCAGATTTAGTTTATGGAATCTATTCAGAGATCCCTATTAATAATTTCCTTTTATATACAATTCACAATTGACCACTGTGAGTGCGTTAAAAAAAAAAAGGTTTGACCAATAAAGTACAAATAAAACACGATTTGAAGTACTTACCAATTGGAAATAGCTCACGTTGTTGTTGTGTTCCTTTTCTTTTTTTTTTTGTTCGCGCGCGGCTCTGTTGATATTTTCGTAGTAAAAGCACGTGTTCTGCGTGACCTATAAGAGAGGGGGAGTAGCGGGCAGATATTTGCGTCGCGTAATTCTATCTTAAACCAGCGCTTTTCCGGAATTGATGTTTTCAGTTTCCGTGATGCATTTAGGGCAGTAGCATGAATCTTTGGCGTAGGGATTTATTAATATCCGTTTATTACCATTCAGCGTTTTACACGCATATTTACCTCGCCAGGTAAACAACTCTCTTTTTTGTTAAATTTTGTCTATTTGCACTTTTTACGGTTTCTCCTCTTACGATTTCGAGTACACTAAGCACACATACACATACAAATAGACACTTGAGAGCTAAGGAAAAAAATGGCCGCGCACGCCAAAAATATATATACACACACCAACACACAATCGTGTTCGTGTGTGTGTTTTTGCACTTGTGCTGCCCCTTTTCTTTGCAGAATTTGGCGCGACTTAATTTTGGCGCCTTGATTAATTTCAAGTGATGGGCTACGGGAAGGTCGTGCGATTTACAGCCCGCTAGTTTCGGATTTGGTATTAACTTCTCTCGCCCGCGTTGTTTACATGCTGTGCGTGCGCGAACAACAAATCACAACGAAAAACGCAAAAAAGATGGGTGAGAAGAAGAAGAACCGTTCGGTTCGGTGGCAAAAACTCGACTGAAAAAAATCACTCAACTTTTTTCATGACATCGCAAACAGCAAGCAGCTGTGAGCGTAAGTACCTGGGTGTGTGTGCGTGTTTACTCTCGAACTCTCTCACTCTCGCACACGCAATAAAAAAATGCTTGTTTATGTTTTTTATGTGTATGTTTTTTGCCTACCACTATTGCGCTCTCTGTCTTCCTCTTGTACTCTCTGGTACTCTCTTTGTGTTTTATTCCGGTTTTTCTCTGATTGGTTGTCGCTATTTGTTGGCACTTCTAGTACCCTGTGTTTTTTGTGCTTACGCTATCCTTGTACATTGATACACTTAAAATCTATTCAAACATTTAAATCGTAAATAGTAAAATTTTCTAGCAGTGTGTTGCTCATTCATAAAGCGATCAATTTATATAAACACTTGTGGACATATACTTATGTGTGTGCATATATATTTATACATGTTTATGATAACGAGCTAAATTTAAATTTTGTAAAATTCCTTGATTTGCAATAACAGTATCATTTTACCAACATTCAAAATCTTACTGTAAACTGTTTTTTAGAAGTCCGCTGACCAATTCAAAACTACGCGCCAAGTAATTCTTTATATAAATCGATATTTTGTGTTAGATTGTTTTCACGTTTGTGAACACTGCTTTGAATCAGTGTAGTAAAACTTATTTAAAAGTGCTGTAAACCACTAAATTGTCCAGCTGTTATGCGCGTGCAATGATTTGTTTTGGCGCTAAAAGTTATTAATTACTGCACGTAAATTTGCTATATTAAGCATGTCTGCACAATACCAAAGATTTATTAAAGTACTCGAGAAGTGGCCAGCAGAAAAAACTAAAGTCGGCAGGTAAGCAAAGTCAAAATCCCAATAAAATGTTCGTTCAGCGGCGTCCCGTTTGCGATTATCTAACAACAATTGCAGGCATAGAATTTTTTAGATTACTATTTAAGCTATTTGTTGTGGTTTCTTACAGGCAAGAATAAGCTTATAATTTGGCAATGCGTTTGATGTTGTCGCTCGTCATGAGCTGGGTTTTCACTCTGTGGTGCAGCGCCACAAGTTCCACATATCATTGTGGATTGTGGCACTAGAACAGGCCAATTTCTACTTGATTCTTGGCAACGGAAACAGTCCGTTGACGATTTTCGAATTGTTAGTTTCAGCTGTTTTCGTTTGCTTGCGTGTTTTATTGAAACTTGTGTTTTATCATGTCCTCAAAGTACGCCTATCAGTTGATACCAGAGTCGTTTCTTCTTGGCGAGCAGGATGTGGCTGTGTAAGTTTTAACCCGGCCAAATGAACTTAATCGAGAGAGCTTCAATAACTGATACACTGGATGAAACATAATATAATATACCAAGTGTTTATTTCCATAATTTTTAACCTACAGAGAACATTCACCGAAGATATGATATCTGAACACTTGCATAAACAATGTTATGCTATTAGCTGTTTGGTACTGAAAACATCCTAAATTTATATTTTCCTGAAAACCGCAATTTTCATTAGGCGTGAATTTGAGGTATATAAACAAGGTTATAATGCTTATAGTTGATACACAGACTTTGTAGGTTTGAATATATATGTGGTTTTCCTTCTCTTTGTACATTTATTAATCGCTACTGTGCAACTGTTTAGTTTTTATTTATTTTATCTTTAGACCCAAGTTTACCTGTAATTTCAATCAATTGTACTAGGTATTCGGTTGCACTACTCTTTATTGCGAATGTAAATAAATATAATATGTGCCAGCTTCGAAGAAATTCAAGTCCATTCCAATTCTTCCATGTATTTTGCTTAGGTTCGTTTTTTGTTAATCTCTTCGGCTTTTCGCTGCAACGAACATCAGAGCAACAACACAACAAATACAAATACAAAAGTGCATATGAAAGCCCCACAATAAACTTTCTTTCCCACCCAAGGGATCTGGGAGAGCAAATCCGCAAACAAGTTACCAAACTGACAGACGCGAGCAGCCACAATATCGAAACGACTGCGCAGCTGACCAAGCAAATTGACGCCTTGGAGCGGATTTCGAACAACATTTACGCCAAGAAGTATCCACGTCGCTACGAGTCGACAGCCACGGGCTTAACCGCCGCCCAGTGCAGCCAGGTGCTCAGCTCAGAGTTTCTGCAGTATCTGAACGATGGCGCCGCCAAACGCAATTAAAGCAATCACCCCAATGAAGATTTTGAGCCAATTCCTGACTAGACCCAAATCAACACCAACACAGCAACTAAGACATTGTACGACGACTGTGACGCCTCCAGCTCCATCTGCTCAACATGTGCCCGTGCTCTGCCAGACGGCTATTGACTATCTGCAGCCGGTGGCAAGCGGCAATTACATAGATATGACCTTTGGCGCTGGTGGACACACGCGTCGCCTACTCGACAGCTGTCCGGATACTACAGTTTATGCCCTGGACCGGGATCCGCTTGCCCACGAGCTGGCTCAGCGCATGAGCCAGGAGAACGACTACGACGGACGACTGGTGCCGCTCCTAGGAAAATTCTCGGAGCTACCGCAGCTGCTGCAATCGCTGGACGTGCCGCGGCATAGTTTTGATGGCATGCTGTTCGATTTCGGCTGCAGTTCCATGCAGTTCGATGAGGCAGCACGCGGCTTCTCCATAGCGCACAACGGGCCACTGGACATGCGCATGGATTGCGGACGCAGTGGCAGCGTCAGCGCCGCCGATGTGCTAGCCCGTGCCGAGGAGGCGGATCTGGCGCGCATTTTGCGCGTCTACGGCGAGGAGAAGGCAGCCAAGAAGATAGCGCGCGCCATTGTGGAGGCACGCAGTGCACTGCAGCGCATTGAGACCACGCGACAGCTGGCCGATCTGGTAGCCGCAGTGCTGGGCGATGGTCACCGGCTGGACCGGCTGCAGCGGCCGGCGCATTCGGCGACAAAAACGTTTCAGGCTCTGCGCATCTTTGTCAACAACGAGCTGAACGAGATCAACTATGGTATGCTGCTGGCCCAGGAGCTATTGCGTGCCCAGGGCCGCCTGGTGGCCATCACCTTTCACTCGCTGGAGGACACCATTGTCAAGCGTCACATTAATGGCAATGTGATCGAGGGCGTGGCCAATCCGCTGCCGCTCAAGTATTGTGGTCATGACCTCACCCATGATCCAGAGCTGTTGGAATCCTTTGTGCAATCCAACTGGCGCCAGCTGCATCGACACGTCATTCAGCCCGATGCCACAGAAATCGCACGCAATAGCCGCAGTCGCTCGGCCAAGCTGCGTGCCGCTATTAAGATTAAGTAAAGATTAAACAAAATTTATAAAACTTGGTCAGGAATAAAAAAAAATGAGCTCTCCACTCGATTCGTCTTGTCCCACTGACCGTTGCTCTGTGTTTCCATTCCATTTGCTAATTGATGTGTCCACCTATTCTGCATGTTATCTGCTTACCAATTGGCACCTAACGATAAGGCACGTTTATCTGTTTTGTTGCTGCTGTTGTTTTTTGTTGTTATTATTTCTAATTTGTGTGTTTCTCGTGGAATATTTGTTTGCTTGTCACCGGATTCAGGTATTAAATAGATTATGAAATCGGTGTTATGGTCCGATAGAACTATATTAAGCGCACAGTGGTTAAAATGACAGACGACATCATGAAAACCTCTCGAAGAATATATCAAATTTGTTATTTTAGGGTTATGTTTGAATATAATAGCTTTTATATATAGTATCTTGAAATTTTAGTTTAGTTTTAATAATATTTCAGCGCTATTTTTTAATGCGTCTTGAACGGAAATTTACAAAATTATTCTTTCTTTTTCATAATTTGAATATTAACTTGTTAAATAGACTTTCAAGTGGGGCTGTAAATTTCTGAAATTTGTTTCGTTTTTAATATGATTTCTGTTAAATTAATAATTAAATCCCTTTTGGGAGCTATAATAGTTATCTTGCTTGCAAGTCTTCTCATTTTGATAATTTCAAAATCTTTAATCGCAGTCCCTGTTTCTATGTTATCTAGCTCAGAGATAGAAGAGGAAGTGCACTCTTCTTAAGGAATAATTTTTATAATCGAAGTCTTCAGCTGATTGCTAGATATTATTTCAAATATGATTTCTATGATCGCAGTTTAGTTTTAACCGCACTTTCTTCCAATTAATATCCACTTCCCAAATGTTTTGAACCATGATGCCATATCGAGCTGGTTCGCATGTCATTTTGCGGTCACAGCTCCTATGGAAAGGGAGAGCTCTCTTGGTATAGCTATTGGGTGAATCTTTGCTGCTTTACAGAGTCGCGTATTTGTTTACGATGAGCTGTGACCCCTGAGAAAACCGAAACCCCATAATCTGAAATGCGTTCGCGGGGCAACTGATAAGCGAGCGGTCGAGGCGGGCGCGGGATTAGCAAGCGATAGACATACCCGCACACCTATCGCCATGGGTATGGGTATTAGTATGGGTATGGGTATGGGTATAGATAGGCCCGGTATGACCGGTAGGCGTTCAGTTGCGTTGCGCGAGCGTTGGCGTTGCTATCGAGACGCGTTCATATTCCCCGACCATAGTGCGGAGACTTCAAAACTTTGTGCGTTTTTACAGTGTGTGGAGGAGCGAGATGACCGTCGAGTCGAAAATCATATCCGGCACAGCGGTGGCCAAGTGAGTATCAGTTGCCAGTAGTATAAGTGGATGTATATACTATGTGGTTGTTGTTGTACACAACAGGACAATACGCGAGGAGCTGCGCCAGGAGGTGATTGAGCTGCGCGCATCGGGCACCCAATTTGTGCCAGGACTGCGCATCGTCCAAGTGGGCGGTCGCGAGGATTCCAATGTCTACATACGCATGAAGATCAAGGCCGCCACGGAAATTGGCATCAATGCCGTCCATGTTCCGCTGCCCCGTTCTATCACCGAATCGGAGCTGCTCGATAAGGTAGGTGCCAGTCAAAGTCAATCAAATGTTATGCAATGCCCAAAAAAGAAAGAAAGAAAAAAGACAGATTTATCATTGAGTTGCCGACGATTAAATACCCTTACCATAGACATACCCAACTCGTTGGACATAATATATATAGATCACAGAGAGCCATGGTAGACATATACAAACCTATCATATTAGTTATTTTCTTGTTTATATATTAATTATATTATTTACCATAAATATTTCTTATCTTATTTGTCAAATATATATTTAAGCAAAGACCTAAAGAACTCAGGGACTTGTTTGCCTTTTTCTCGACCGACCAACGAAATTTATCCCAGATCAAAAATATATACTATATAAATATTTATAATTCATAATTGCGTTACTTCATTGCGTCAGAGTATTTAGACGAATTAACACTATCATTGAATTAACACCTTAACCATTTCTAATCAATCGCACGTCATTCGCTGCGGCAGCTGGGCGAGCTGAATGCTGATCCCCTGGTGCACGGCATCATCGTGCAGATGCCTCTGGACTGTGATACGCCCATCGATGCGCATCGCATCACGGACGCCGTCTCGCCCGAGAAAGATGTGGACGGTCTGCACACCATGAACGAGGGTCGTTTGGCCATCGGCGATCTCAATGGCTTTCTGCCGTGCACACCGTGGGGCTGTCTGGAGCTGATACGACGTACTGGCGTGGAAATTGCCGGAGCCAGAGCCGTTGTCCTGGGCCGCAGTAAAATTGTGGGCACACCAGCTGCCGAGCTGCTCAAATGGGCAAATGCCACGGTTACCGTTTGCCACTCGAAGACGCGCAATCTGGAGGAGATAACGCGCACCGCTGACATACTGCTGGTGGGCATTGGTGTGCCCGAGATGGTTAAGGGCACTTGGATAAAGCCAGGCGCCGTCGTCATCGACTGTGGCATTAATGTCAAGCCAGGTGAGTGGGCATCGCTACAGATGAGTTGCTTTCCGCCTCCCTATCAAACCCAGTTGTTTACCATTGCTTATCATAGCGCCTGACCCCTGTCGAGCCCCTGATAAGCATGGAAACTCAGCTAGTTATTTTCCAAAATCGAAAATAAGTGTGTGTTTGACGCTTAGTAATTGAAATTCGTTTGACTGAAGCGAGCATACACGGCGAACTCTGAAGATTTGTGGCCGTTTGGGCATCTCATCTCTCAACTATTTACATTTGTCTTCCTTCCTTCGCAGACGCGACCAAGGCGAGTGGCAGTCGTTTGGTGGGTGACGTGGACTTTGAGCAGGCTAAACTGGTGGCGGGTCATCTGACTCCCGTGCCCGGCGGCGTCGGCCCCATGACAGTGGCCATGCTGATGAAGAACACGGTGGTGTCGGCATCGCGAGCGGCGGCCCGTGCCAAACGCACCAAGTGGCCACTGCAGCTGCTACCGCTTCGGCCTGCCAGGCCCGTGCCCAGTGACATTGAGATAGCGCGCGCACAGCATCCCAAGAATATTGCCCAGCTGGCCGAGGAAATTGGCCTACTGCCAAAGGAGGTGTCGCTCTATGGCAGCAAGAAGGCCAAGATCTCGCTGAGCGTTTTGCAGCGTCTGCAGGAGCAGCGAACGGGCAGCTATGTGGTTGTCGCGGGCATAACGCCCACACCCCTCGGCGAGGGCAAGACCACGACGCTAATGGGCCTGGTACAGGCGCTGGGCGCGCACAAGGAGCGCAATGTGATCGCGGCACTGCGTCAGCCTTCGCAGGGACCAACGTTCGGCATCAAGGGCGGTGCTGCCGGCGGTGGTTATGCCCAGGTCATACCCATGGAGGAGTTCAATTTGCATCTCACGGGCGACATACACGCCGTTGCGGCGGCCAATAACTTGGTAGCCGCACAGCTGGACACGCGCATCTTCCACGAGGCCACGCAATCGGACACGGCGCTCTACAATCGTCTGGTGCCGCGCATTAAGGGCCAGCGCATATTCAGTCCCATACAGTTGCGTCGCCTCAAGCGCCTGGGCATTGATAAAACGGATCCCGATACGCTGACCGAGCCGGAGGCGGCGGCCTTTGCACGGCTCAACATTGACACCGACACGATCATGTGGGAGCGCGTGGTGGACATTAATGACAGGCATCTACGTGAGATAACCATTGGCGAGTCGCCCACCGAGAAGGGCTTGAGCCGCAAGACGCGCTTCTCCATAGCGGTGGCCAGCGAGATTATGGCCGTGCTGGCACTCTCGCGCAGCCTGGCGGACATGAAGAACCGGCTGGCACAAATGGTGGTCGCCTTTGACAAGCGCGGCCAGCCGGTGACTACCGATGATCTGGGCGTCACTGGCGCACTAGCTGTTCTCCTGAAGGACGCACTCGAGCCGAATCTGATGCAGTCTCTGGAGGGCACGCCTGTTCTGGTGCATGCTGGTCCGTTTGCCAACATTGCCCACGGCTGCAACTCGATCATTGCCGACGAGGTTGGCCTCAAGCTGGTGGGCACCGAAGGCTTCGTGTGCACTGAGGCGGGTTTTGGCTCCGATATTGGCATGGAGAAGTTCTGTAACATCAAGTGTCGCAACTCTGGCCGCAAGCCCGATGCCATGGTCCTGGTGACAACGGTGAGGGCCATTAAAATGCATGGCGGCGGTGCGCCGGTCACGCCGGGCACACCACTCAACAAACAGTATACGGAGGAGAATCTGCAGCTGCTGGAGCAGGGCCTGCCCAATCTGTTGCAGCACATCTCCAACGGACGCGCCTTTGGCATGCCCGTCGTTGTGTCCATCAATGCGCATGTCGCCGATACAGCGGCCGAGCACGAGCTGCTCAAGAAGGCCGCTCTGCAGGCAGGCGCCTTTGCTGCCGTGGTGTCCACCCACTGGTCAGATGGTGGTGCAGGTGCTGTGCCACTCGCCGATGCCGTCATTGAAGCCTGCAAACTGGAGAATAAGTTCAAGCTGCTCTACGAGCTTGATCTGCCGCTTGTGGACAAGATGAACAGGATCGCACAAACCATGTACGGCGCGGGCAAAGTGGAACTCACCCCGGAAGCTATCGACCAGATCAAACGCCTTACCGATGCAGTAAGTTCAAAGGTTTTCTCTTGCTGCACTTGGCTTAAATGTTATTTTTGACCTTTCAGGGATTTGGTAAACTGCCAGTGTGCATGTCCAAGACCTCCGGCTCCGTCACTGGCGATGCCAATATTAAGGGCGCTCCCAAGGGTTTTACAATTAAAGTTCAGAGTGTTTATGTCTCAGCTGGCGCCGGCTTTGTGGTGGCCATGTGCGGCGACATAACCAAAATGCCCGGACTCGCCACTCGCCCCGCCATCTACGACATTGATCTGAACACCGAAACTGGACAAATCGAGGGATTGTTTTGAGAGCCCGCAGCATGGACAATACATTTGGTGTACAACTGCCAGCATCATTTTATGTAAAAGAAAATTTATGTTTTTTATTTTATAACCAACTGATGGCAGCATAATGTACATTTTTTTTATTTTATTTTTCAAAAAAAACGGAAAACGATATTTTTTCTATTTGAATTGTTGACGTGTTAACCAGCTAGCTCTTAATATTAGGTGAATAGTGCAAATAAATAGGTATAATAATTGGATCTTATGAAAAAAATGTATATATTGTGTGTAAAACACTTCTATTAATAATTTGGCTTACAAATTAGATAGAATTCACCATAGCCGTGTTTTATCTAACGCTCAAGGTTTGGTTGAAGGGACATAAGAATGTGGAATTCTGGGTTTTAACTGGTTGGGTTCATATGCTATCATATATTATTTTTCTAAATTTATTTATTTTGAGATAATATCAATATATTGTTGACCTAATTTGAATTTAGAGGTTTTTCAATTTAATTTATTAATGGTCGAAAAGGCGAGTGTCGAACAAAGTATTTAATACATTATAATACAAAAGTAAGGATCTAAAAGTCTAAACAGAATACCAATTTCAAATAACATCACCGATACTATTTGGATTTTATTTTATTTTTTTACATTGGTTTAATCCATTAGCTAATGAGCGCCAAAATAAATCATGATGCAGTTTTGGTATCATAAGCTTCAATCAAATAGCAAATGCCAAGAAACAATTAATCCGTTAGCTAAACTTTCCTACAAAATAACGAGCATTAGGACCACATAGAATGGACGTACACCCAGGCAAGCACAAGCCTCGAAGTTCAGCACAGATCCTCGCTGTGTAGTTGCCATAACGATTTGACTTGGGACTTTGTTCCTATCGATTTATTTATTTTAGTAGTCGGCGCCATATTAACAACATTCAATGTAACTGTCATTCGGAGTGAAGAGTTGAGCAACTGTTTTAGCATGTTCCGAGTGCGAGTGCGCAACATTGCCCATCCGGGTATACGGCAATTCATTTTGCGCACTGCCGTGCTTAACTACTTGGGAAAGTGCTTGCAATTACAGTGGGACGACTGGCAGAATCAGCGAATGCATTTGCGTACACTACAACACGAGGGAGCAAGGGCATCCGAATCGGTTGCTGATGATGCAGTAGTTGATGCTGCTCGTGAAAATCTGTCCCAGGCTATCGATGAACTGCGCAAGAAGGTTGCTGGCACACACAAGCTGCTGCAGCGCGAATACAACGAGCTTTTTACGTACATGATGGACAAACGTGATCTATGGGACAGTCCCGAGTATTTTAAGGCCAAGACGGCGCTGGGTACGGCCAATCATAATTTGAGAATGTACATGACCGCTGATAAGTGAACAGAAGCAGTTGCCAACAATCAACATATCCATTCTATAAATTAAAGTTTTAGCAAGAGGATAACAAAGTTTTAACAATATGAACTATTTGTAAAAAGGTATTTCCACACGTCCAGATTTTGTGTTAACTGTCTCCCAGCAAGTGCACGTAAAGGTGGAACGATCCATGTGATCGGTGTATAGTTTGCCATCCAAATGATCCATTTCGTGCTGGGCAATACGCGCATTCCATCCGCTCAGTTGAAGCTCGTTGTGGGCACCTTGTCTGTCCACACCTGTGAGCTTGACGCCCTCATAGCGCTCAACTTCCGCAGAGAAACCGCGAACGCTCATGCAGCCTTCAGGATGCTTGTGCTTGGTATAGTTGGTCACATTCAGCTTTGGATTGATGAACACCTGTGGGGAAGCGAGCGGCATTAGTATATGTTATACTATCTATCCTATATTTCGTGTTGATTACAGTCAATGGCAGCTCGGACATTTGCCGCGCCTTGTATGTCGCCTCGGACAGGTCTTTTCGTATGCTTCGCTTAAATTCCATGGCAATGATGCGTAAGGATATGCCAATTTGAGGCGCCGCAATTCCCACACAGTCGTATTTGCGCAGCACATGCACCATCTGATCCACAATGGCATGGATCTCCTTGCTATCCACACATTCCGCTGGCACCTCCGCTGCCCGGTCGCGCAGCACGGGGTCTCCGATCTGTGTGAAGTGGCTGTAAGGCGGCAAATTCGTACGATTCGTTGTCCAGAGCTGCTGGTACCATTTTCTGAATGACTGTGAAGCCGCAAGGCTGGTGCTGAGGTATCTTTCGTGTCTTCCACTTAATTTACGTAGTTTTTGCAACATTTTAGCCGTTTATTACAAAATAAAAAGATACAAGCGTCGTTAACCGTAACTAATATAAATAATAAAAATATGGGTAGTCTACTTCAAGATACCCTCTTAATTTTTTTCGTAGCCTTTTAATACGCTTAATTTATCATCATAAATTAAGCAAATAATCAATGTAATTATTTTTATAATTTTTTATTTGCGACTAACTGATTTATTTAACAATTGTGATTTCAATTTAAAACCCTAAACTCTTGCCTTTACCACGTAAAATATGGCCGTTTACTTTAGCCAGGGCTGACGAAGAAAACTATCGATTTGTAACCATGCGACGAATACGATAGTTCTTTTTTGAATTAGTTCACAGCATGAATGTGAACCAGCTGCTGATAGCTTTTGTGTATGCTCGTTTATTTATGATCTAGTTTTTGATACTTGATAAGACGGTTACGAGCATACACAAAAGCAATAACCAACATTTGATTTACTAGTGGAACTAATTCTTTTTCTATTCAGTCATAAACTCCATCAAATGTAACACCAGACAGTATACCGGATTTCTCTGCTAGCGGTGACTGTATCATAACAGAAACAGCTGATCGGGTGCTACATTACCGTTATCGGATTTCCGTTCACAATCAACATTACACTTCGAAGTAATGATCGTCACCCATTTTGCGCGGCTTCAGGCGTTCTTTAGGCATGATTGATGCAAGAGTACCCCTGCTTGATCGATCATCGGCAATACTGCCTAATGTGTTCTTACGGAGCCTGGATACAACCTTAAAGTATTTGGAAATAATGGTATCCACAGCGGGACCATATTTCTGCCTGGCCAGGTCCTTTTTGCAGCGTACATAGATGTCCTTGAGGACGCCACCACTGCGATAAAACTTAATCACCTTCTCGCGCCGGTACCACTTATATAGCATCTGCGGGGAGCACGGCTCGTAGATGCGATATACCTTGAAGAACTGATCGTAGAACTTAGACATTTTGCGCATCTTGATCTCGTTAATGTTGGGTATTTGCAGATGCGGCTGCCGCACAATCTGATATGGATCGTGGTCAGCAGAGTAGTTGGCAAAACGCACCGCGGGCCAGTCCAGGCTCAGAGTGGTGTCGTATAATATCTTTGGATGTCCTAGAATGCCGTGGGTTACATCGATCATGAACAGCTGGGGGCCCGGCACAATATACTCCAGCTCGATCTGCACTATGCGAGTGTCGGTGCCCCGATACTTGCGCTCACCAATCCACAGAATGGCCATATCCTCTTCGGGTATATGCTCCAGCTCCTGAATCAACGGCGAGACCTGGGTGCGATAGTTAACAATCTTGTAATTGCGACCATAGAGCAAGCTGCGCTCCAAGGGTGTGAACTTCGGATACTCTGGATGATTGATCACAAAGTGCTCAGAGCGAAATAGTCGATTCATCTCCATCTCGATCACGTTGTAGGCGCGTCTGTGCAAAGTAATCCATACGATCTGCGTGGCAACGGCCAGAAAATGCTCGTGAAAGAACTTATCCTTAATGGTCGCCGAAATGTTGACAATCTCCTTCATGTGATAGAACTCCGCCATATCGCCTTCGCCCTTGAGGATTACGCTATAATTTCGTGCCACCAGCATGCGATACTGACTCAAGTATATCGAAAAAAGGCGCTTCATTTCATTTGTCTGCTCGCTCTGTATCTGGGCCATATCGCCAGCGAGCTCATCCCGCCGGATCAGCACAAATTCGACCATTCGCAGAAAGTACTCGAAGTAGATGATCAGAGCATGAAGCAATCTGTGCACGGCAGGCCTGTGTATAAAATCAAGAAATTTCGAGGTCAGAAATTCTTCGGGCATCAGAAATAACACCAGATCACGGACATCGTTTATCACAACAGTGTCCGTATCAAAAGTGGCTTCAGAACGCAGAAACTCCTGCCGAAAGATCAGTTCCTCCTCCTGGTTGATTGTGCGAAGGAATTTGTATCCGTTCGTCTCCATATAGCGCTCCCTTGCGTCCGACAAGTCGTTGTGGGGCTCAAAGTGCAGACTGTCGGTTTTATTGTCCCACGACCACTTGCCACTGTGGTACTTGGGCGCATACGTATCGGCGTGAATACGCTTCATTTTAGCCGCAAATCAAAACTTTTTTAGCTTTTATTTAATGATTTTTTGGGCTTTTTCCTGTTGTTTTTTTTTTTTTTTTTGTTTTTTAGTGTATGTGTGTGTGTGTGTTGTATATACGAGTGTGTTGTATATACGAGTGTGTTTTAAATGAAAGCACAACAAGCGAACTATCAACATTGGAAATAGTAATAGTAGTTTTTGAAAAATTGTCAAAATGTGAATCAAAACTATTTTTCATGCTTTCGTTAAAAACTGGAATTCTTTAGCTTATATCGATACTGGTTGATACTGTTGCCTCTTTCAATCGGCTGCAAGGGTATATGTAAAGGTCCTTTTAGATATTATTTCTTTAATACCAGCTATGAGCATCAATTATATTTGACGATAGATGTTTAACAACTTGAAGCGAAATTTGAATCACAAATATCAGAAAATATGAACAAAAATTTGCTGCTCAACCAGTTTTCCAAGAAACCCAAATAAATAAAGCTTGTAAAAAATTAATATTCGGCGCCAAAAACCCAATCACTTATAATTCTTTTTTAAAATTTAAAAAAAAATCCACGTAAAATATGACCGTTTACTTTAGCCAGGGCTGACGAAGAAAACTATCGATTTTTAGTTCATTTTTGAATTAGTTCACAGCATTAATGTGAACCAGCTGTTGATAGCTTTTGTGTTTGTAATTTCAATTATTTTGATAAACTTTTAAATACTTATTTATCAAACGCAATCACGGCGCGTCCTCCACTTGCATTAATATGTGGCCAATTAATGCAAGTAAAGCTAGAAACGTCCATACGGTCAACGTAAACAATGCCGTTCAAATGATCCATTTCATGCTGCGCTATGCGCGCGCTCCAACCCACAAGTTCGAGATCTGAAGGTGTTCCAAGCATTCCAATGCCGGTGACTCGGACACGATCATATCGAGCCACTTGGCCAGAGAAACCGCGCAAGCTCATGCAGCCCTCGGGATGCGTGTGCAACTTATCACTGATTATCTCAATCTTTGGATTGATAAAGACCTTATTTGGGTAAGAAATGAGATAACAATTACAAAAGTTAAAAGATTAAACTGATAAACACTAATCATAAACTGCAACTTACGCTTAGCGGCAGTGGCGACATCTTTCGCTGCTCGAAGACTTCACCCGTGAACTGTTCACGCTTGCCCTCGCGAAACTCCATTACAATAATACGCAGTGGCACTCCCAATTGAGGCGCTGCTACGCCCACGCAGTCGTAGTGCCGTAGCACCTTTACCATTTGGTCCACAATATCATTTATTTCTTGGCTGTCCAAACGTTCCGGTGGAACTTCCTCGGCACGGACACGCAGCACAGGATCGCCAATTTGCGTAAAGTGATTATACGGTGGAACCGTGCGTGCCGTGATTTCCGTAGACATTGAGTTGCTCAATGGGAATGAGCTCTAGAGTAGGCGCAGGTGATAACAGTAATGTAGCACCCTATCAGCTGTTTCTGTTATGAAGCAGTCACCGCTAGCAGAGAAATCCGTTATACTGTCTGCGGTTTTATTTGATACATTCGTAATTCGCCAGCAGTTTCTGACTGAATAGAATAAGAATTAGTACCACAAGTAAATCAAATGTTGAGTATTGCTTTTGTGTATGCTCGTTTATTTATGATCTATTTTTTGATGCTTGATAAGAGTTTCCGTCTTATCAAGCATCTGCTTAACCAGTTTTCGAAGAAACCCAAATAAATGTAGCTCGAAAAAAATTTATATATTGAATTTGGCGCCAAAAACCCAATCACTTATAATTATTTTTAAAATGTTAATAAAAATCCCATTCTTTTAATTTTTTACCTGATTCTGATAAATACCTTAAATATTTTGTTTTTAAATTAATTACATTTTTTGCCCATATTCCAGTAATTAATAAATCGCTCTTAAAGAATTTAATACTTCCATACCATATGTACATTTATTATCGTAATCTGTACACATGCGACTATATAGAAAAGACGATTTTGTTTTTTCAAATGTAAAGTGACACATTGATATATACATATGTATGTACATATGTACGTCTCAAGGCGTATATGTATGTCAATATGACACTTCACTATTTGAAAAAGTGTTCGTCTCCAGTTTTTTGGACTTTATGTTCTTTTGCACTGGGTCTTAGGGCAATGTTGGTACTATCGTCCGTACCATGTCTCACCGACTTCCGAAGTCTGGAAACGACTTTGAAATAATTTTCGATAACTTGATCCACTTTGGGACCATATGAGGTGCTCGCCAGTTCCTCTTCACAGCGATTATAAATGTCCACATTGACATCCGCAATTGCTACACTGATGATGCTCTCCCGGCGCAGGCACATGGAGAGCATGTGGCTACTATATGGTTCGTAGATGCGATAGAGGCCTAGGAAATGTTCATAGTGCTTGGACATTTTGCGTATATTTGTATCGTCAATGTTGGGTATCTGAAGGTGGGGTTGCCGCAAAATGTGATATGGGTCATTCTCCAGTGTAAAGTGCTCCTCGCGTACCGCGGGCCAGTTTAGGTTGAGTAGAGTGTCGTAAAGGCGTTTTGGATGCCCCATTATGCCACGTGGTACGTCTATCAAATGCAGCTGGGCACAGGGAACGATAAACTCCAGCTCAATTGTGGCAATGCGAATGTCCGTACCACGATATTTGCGCTCACCTATCCATAGTATGGGCAAATCCTCAGTGGGTACATTTTCTAATTCCTGAATCAACGGCGAGACCTGGATGCGATAGTTAACAATCTTGTTATTGCGCCCATACAGCAAACTTTTCTCAGCGGGCGTTAATTTCAAATACTCTGGTCGGAAAATCATAAAGTGTTCGGACCGAAAAAGTCGATTCATCTCCATCTCGATCACATTGTAGGCGCGTCTGTGCATGGATATCCAGACGATCTGGATCGAGACGGCCAGAAACTGCTCGTGGAACCATTTATCTCTGATCGTAGCAGAAACTTGTCTGCTCGGGTTAATGTGATGAAACTTGGCCATGTCGCCTTCGCCCTTGAGGATTACGCTGTAGTTTCGTGCCACCAGCAAACGATATTGACTTAAGTAAATGGAGATTATGCGTTTCATTTTGATTGTCTGCTCGCTCTGTATCTGGGCCATGTTGCAACTGAGCTCATCACGGCGGATTAAAACGAGCTCTACTAAACGGAGAAAATACTCAAAGTATATATTCAACGCATGAAAGAATCTGAGCACTGCAGGCTGGTGCAAGAATATGAGGAGCCTCTTGGTCAAAAACTCTTTGGGCATTAAAAAGATAACCAGCTCAAGTACATCGGCAGTGATCAATGTATCATAATCGAATGTGGTTTCAGAACGCGCAAACTTCTGGCGATAGATCAGCTCCTCCTCTGGAGTAATTGTGCGCAGAAATTTGTAGCCATTCGTCTCTATATAGCGCTCCATTGCGTCCGACAAGTCGTTGTCCAGCTCAAACTTCAGACTGTCTGTCTTCTTGTCCCAGGACCACTTGCCACTGTGGTACTTGGGTGCTCTTGTGCCGCGATAAATCCTCTTCATTATGGAGGCGAACAAAACGTCTTAACTAAATTAACGACTGTTAATAATTTTGTTGTAAATCAGCAAAAAATGAACACAAACCCGTGTAAAAGGAACAATTCAACAATAAACAATCATCTGAGTTTTAATGACTTCAAAACAAAATCATAATAATAATGAAATTAAAAGAAAAGGGTTTCACAACTATATACATATATATATATATATATTCTAGGAGATAGTCCGTGCCCAGGTTTTAATTGCGTTAGAATCTATTGTTACGTATAAATTTATATGAATATTTACCCAAAAAATCACATACTAACGCACAATTATTTTATTGCCAGTAGTCCTCCTACAGGCGAATATATATAAATCATTTACAGAACAAAGAAAGAGCAACGGAAAATGATTAAAATTATATGGAATCTAAGATAGGGAGAAAGAGTTAATCAGAGAGAGCATATGACTTATTAGATTGCCATTACAACTTGTCAGTTATTATCAAAGCTTGTGAACCTGTAGGTGATACTTGAATTTATGAGAATCACATAGTAAGGCGTTGTAAAAACAATCTTTCTTTTTTTTAAATTCAATTTGCCGCGCAGCGGAAAGCAAACTTGGTCTGTGTATATTATCCGAGAACATAAAAATACATAGAACATGAAAATACGTACAAAATGTTGCAATCCACTGCATTACGTCCATATTCTAAACTTGGTCTTGACTTAATTATTTGTTGAAAAATGTATTTATTTTTTGGGTAGCGCTTTTTAAATAGGTTTAAAGTTGTTTGGAAAAGAATTGTGCTTTATAAACTTGATCTTATAAACTTGGATTGAATGATTTTTATTTTCGGATGGTAAACAAAAACATTCATACAACCCTTTTTCCATCAATTTTCCACAGTTGCGGGTGAAATTATTTTTAAAACTTGATTTACTTTCAAAAATTCTGTACTTGATGTTTTGTTCAAATAAAATTAATTTACAATTAGCTAAGACATACTACTGCTAAATTAGATACCAAATAAATACAAATTTCACAAACTCTTTAAGACTGTAAAATATTCGATCTTTTAAAATTGTAAAAAAAAATTGTAATCATCTCTGAGTAACAGACAAATATATAGGGCAAAGGCAATTATCAATAATATGGGCCGGCCTAGTTTGCGCCTCAGGGTTTTTTTTCGTAAAGTTTAAAATCAGTTTCCAGCCATTTCCGCTCGTGGACTACACGTTTTGATGAAATTGACGAAACACGTGTTTGCTAATTGCGCAATTTTATTAGAGCATTTGTACACATTTCATGGGTACAGGGTGTAATTACTTTTACTTAGCCAGTGGCTGTGCAGTGTTTATCTGATTTGTTGGCTTTGTATTTTTCGCCCCGCTTGTAATTTAATAAAAATTTATGTAGATTTACCAGCTGCAAGGCAAGTGAACATCAAGTACACACCATAATCCTGCGGCCATTATCCTGGCACGCATTTACTGGGTTACTTATCTCATTATGAATTTATGCCACGGTCGCGTTAACGTTTGCCACTCATAATGCCAAACGGGCAAAATTTATGAGCACCTTGCAGCAAATTTATGGTAGAGCCAAACACCAAAAGCAACACCAACAACATCAACAAAAACAACAAAAAAAGTGAATAAAATAAAGGCCTTAAATTTACTCAACTGTCAGCTATTAACGGGAATACCCGCTGGCCACACACTGTCCCCACTCGAGAATTTTAATATATTTACCAGTACATTAGGGTGCCACAATGGAGCCTCGTTACCTCAATTTAACGCCGGACCATGGGACTTGGGCGTTATTATTGTGTGTGTATTTTATTTATTGTTGCATGTATATTAAGCTTTTGTTTCTGTTTTTCTTGTTTTTGTTCGTTTTTAAATCTTCAGTCGGGTTGCACTGCCAGTGACATTTATTGTTTATCATTGAAAAGGGAGGGTTGAAAATTGACATGACGAATCGGGAAATTGAGCTAACTATTTCACACTATTGAGTATAAATGTTCCAACATCGGTGGACAACCTGTCACTTCGAAGGCATAAAAAACTCTACAGATTAAATCAAATAATGGAAAATATTTCAGTATGCTTTACCTGTCTGTTGGCTAAGAATCTCAGTTTCATCGGTTTCCTTGTTGCAGTCTCTTTTTCTAGGGAACTTGTATGTTAACTTAACAAAAGCTATACACACAAAGATACATAAATTCATACTCCCAAACATACATACATACATGCAAACGTATTGACATACTTGCATTCATAAGAACATACATACACTCATACACCCACACAGACATGTATATATACACATATACATACACATACAACCATACATCCGTACATACATAAATACATACTTTCATACATACATGCATATACACATTCATACTCTTACGTACATTCGGAAATACGTACATACATGCAAACAAATATACATATAGCGGGTACTCCTCGGACTTGCCCATGGCATGTTTTACTATGGTTAAAATTTTAGATATAACTTTTTCATTCAGTTTGCGACCACGGCCGCGTCTTAAGTTAAATTTTAAAAGGATATTTGAAAATAACTTTAAAACCCATCGAATTAAGAACATTTGCGAAAAATTTATCAAATTAACGGCAAACGTCTGATATGGGTATGAAATCTTCGGCGTGCCGAAGATATCTGAACTTTCTCGTATTAAATCAATTGTTATAATAATACAATGCCAACAATGCAGGGCCAATTACTTGTGTACGGGCTTTCACTTGTGTGAGGCACATGTTTTTGAAAAGCAAAGTAATTGCTCATATGAATGAAAAGTCATTTTTTCGTTATAAGTATTCGCCGCAACTCCAAAGCTGCTACGGAAAGTAAGCCAAACGTGTGCACAAATGAAAACAACTTAAGT